TTCTTTTTTTTTTGATGGGTCATGGGTTTTGAACTCAGGGCCTGGGTGCTGTCCCTGAGCAAATTCTTTTGCTCAAGGCCAGTGCTCTACCACTTTGAGTCACAGCACCACTTCCAGTTTTCTGGTGTTTAATTGGAGATTAGTCTCATAAGCTTTCTTGCTGGGGCTGACTTTGAACCTTGATCATCAGATCTCAGCCTCCTGAATAGCTAGGAGTATAGGCTTGAGCCACAGGCACCCAGCTCAGGGTTTTCCATTCTCTTTCTCCCTGTCCCCTGCAAAGTGCCCAGGCTGGGCAGAGACACTTACATAGAAAGCAGTCTGTGAGTGGCAGTTTTTTGCCAAAATCATGTTTGTTCTTCCCAACTTTTTAATTTATTTTTTTGACACAGCTCTCACCTCACTCTGTAGTCCAGAGTGGGCTTGAATTCCTGATCTTCCTGCTTCTACCTCTCGAGAGCTGAGATTACAGGCATGCACCATCATCAAGTTAACATTACTGAAAGGATCAAGGAAACTTTGGGAAACTGGGAGAGGAGTTTATCTGTTCTAATATTAATCACCCCATAAAACACATGTTTATTTAGTTGTTGGCAGTCCCTCTTCCTGGAGGTAGGAAGCTGTTATTCTTGGAGATAGTAGTTAGGGCTTGGGCCAGGGATCCAGCAGGAGAGAGGGTAAGCAGCTGGGCTCCAGCCATGGGGAGGTGGTCACAGGCCTGGAGCTGGCCTCAAGACAGGGAAGAGGAGGTAACAGCTTCTGCCTTTACTTATGTATGACATAGCCCATCTGTCCATGGCCTGACTTGTGTGCACACCTACTGTGTATGTACACTGTATGCCAGGCATCCCAGGATACTGCTCAGCTGAGGACAGGCCTAGTCCAGGTCAAGTGCAGAGAGCATTAATTCCAGACAAAGGCAGAAGGGAACAGAGTCAGGCCTGGCAGGAAATCCCTAAAGGGCAGACATTGGCTTGATGCATAATCACCCCCAAGAAATACTGATCCATCTTTAGAGCCACTAGGTCAGAGAGCAACTTCTTTTACAGGAGAAAGAGCCACTGAGAAGGGAAAGAAGAGTCAGAGGGATCAGAGTTGAAAGGAGAGATAAGAGGACTACAAAACATTTACACAAGCCAGGCGTAATGGTCACACACCTGTACTCAGAACTCAGATTGTTGAGGTGGGAGGAGCTTAAGTTCAAGGCCAGCCTAGGTTCTGTGATGAGTTAAAGCCAGCCTGGACACAGAAAGAAGACCCTAGACAGAAAAGAGAAACAAAAGAAAAGAGGGAAGAAAGGAAGGAAGGAAAAAGGAAAAAAAGAAGGAAGGGAGAGGGGAAGGGTGTAGTGGTTTGCTGGGTAATTTGTGTAGGGAAGAGAGGAAAGAGGAGGCTAGGGAAAGAAATGGAGTTTGAGTCTATACAGGGTGGCAGGCAGGCATATCTCAAAACACAAAGACATTGCCCTAGAAGAATCGAATGGCCAGCCTATCTCAGAACTCTTGGGTAAAAAGCTCTGTGTGTGTGTATGTGTGTATCATTTTCACACACACATACACAAATCAATTTAAGAGGAACAAAATGAAGAGATATTTTAATCTGCCAATTGAATTTAAGGACCATAATCAGTGCTTGAAAATGCTAGGGATTATGGTGATTTATGGCCGGAACGGGAATCAGATGGAGCCTAGGCCTTATCGGATGCAGAATAGCCTGCTGGGAAATCCAAAAGTGAGCCAACCCATTTATAGTCAAAGAAGGGGAACAGGTCAGGCCAGGTTGGGCTGCCTGTGCTCTGGCTCCAGGGTGGGACCCTACAGATTATCCACCAGGCCCCCCTTGAAGATCAGAAGCCCCACCTCCCCTGGCATGTTCCCTTCAACCTCAACTGTCTAAGTCTGGAATGTGGAAGCCCAGCCCTAGTCTCCTCTCCCAAGTAACCTTCTTGACTCCACCCTCCCTCGCTGACCTGAGCCTCCGGACTTCCTGTCTTCTTTTATGTTCAAACCTGCTGGGGGCGAGGGGAGTAGGTGATGAGCTGCCTTGCTCTGGTCCCAGAACACTCAGTTCAGTCCCAGCTCGGTCACATCCCTACATGGGCAGGCCAGGCCTTCCACAGGCCTCAGTTTTCTCCCTGCCAAATGGGGATAAAAAATGCTCCCCTCCAGACCTGTTGCTTGGAGGTTAAATGAGCTAACTGGATGGAAAGCATCTCAGCAGATGGGAAGGATCTTATGACCGCAACACTTAGCAATTTACTGCCCTCTCTGGGCTGCGCTGTGGTTGTGTCCCAGTGTCTGTTTCGCCTCCCTCGCTGCCCAGTGAGCCTTGGGCTGTCTGGAGACAGGGCTGCTCCATCTCAGCCACCACCCGCCCACTCTTCTTCAGCTTCCCATTTGGCCACCGTCCCCTCTCCCCTCCTCTCTTGCCTCACACATAACCCTCAGCTTCGCCTACAGGCCAGGTTTAAGATTGTTCTGGAGGAGCCATGGGTGCATTGACTCAGCCAAAGTCTCAGACCTGAGATGAGCTTGAGGGCCTTGGGGTGCTGGAGAAGAGAATTCTGCCAGGAAGGCCAGAGTGGGGATGGTGAACAAGAGTTTGCTCTGCTTGGGGATTCCTCCCCTACCTTCCCCCCCCCACACACACACATACACATACACAAGGCTGGGACTTCGCCAAGAGCAGAGACAGGCTCTGTCTTCCACCTGTGGCAAAGCCTGGCACAGACACTTCCCAACTGAGGAGAGTGAGGCTAGACAGGAGTCCCCAAGTTGCAGCACAGGCTCAAGCTGTGGGGTAGCACTGCCTCTTAGTGTCTGGCCCTGAGGACTCCAGAGCAGCAGGAAAGGGTTCATGCCAATCTTGAGTTAAGCACCGCCTTCCTTAGGATAGGTGGGGATGATTGACAGCCGCTGGCCACCTGCAACCTTCAAAGAAGCCCAGAGGACAGCTAATATCACCCTATACATGGCCAAGGTTGATGGGACCAGGATCTAGCCTGGGTCTATCTCCACTGCACTGGCCAATGACCTCTTCAGGTAGAGGCACCCCCCCCCCACACACACACCAAGTACTGTCAGGTCAAGGAAGGGCTGGGCAGAGGCTGCCCTGACCGGCCTGGGCACCTCCACCAGGGACTGGCTCCAGGAACAGCCTGCTTCAGGCTCTCCACATGTCAGCATGAATGCAGAAACACTTTTATTGACTTGAAAAACAGAAAGTTCCCTGTTAGTTAATAAAAACAGCCTGGTGTTTGGGACTCAGCAAACAGAAAGAGTTCTAGAGATTAGTCCTTTCCTTCCTTCCTTTCATTCTTTTGTTTTCTTTTCTTCCTTCGTTTTTTACTGTCACTGAATTAAAAAAAAAACTTTTTTATATCAGTTCTAGGGCTTGAACTCAGAGCACCCACACTCTCAATTGATTTTATCACTCAAGGTTGGCACTCTACCACTTGAACCACACTCCAGTTCCAAAGTTCGCTGTTTTTACTCAAATAAAAGTGTTTTTTAAAAAAAAGAAAGAAAGAAAGAAAAGTTTTACTATTACTAAACTCTGAAATCAGAAGGGGGTCAGGACTCCAACACCTTGTGGAATTTTTCTCTGCCAGGGGAAGAAGACAAGTCTGGGAGACGAGGAGCAAATGTTGGGTTGGCTAGCATGGCACCCCGGATGGAGCTGGGCTGTGAAGCAAATGTTGGGTTGGCTAGCATGGCACCCCGGATGGAGCTGGGCTGTGCACTCCCTTCCTCATTTAATTTAATCTTCCCTTCCATGCATTTACAGATGGGAACACTGAGGCCTGGGTAGGATCTGCCTAGAGACAAAGCAAGGTTTGCCCACGGGCTGATCTGCATTCATAGTGCATGCGGTCACACACACACACACACGCATACACACACACACAGAGTACATGTGTGCCAAAATAGCAAGGTGGAAAGGATGAGAGACTGCAAGTTGGAGAATTGGCTCTAGTGCCACCTTAGGCAGCAAGTCATGGTGGAACACTAGGAAGTCAGATTCTCTGAGGCCTCTTCCAGCCTTGGCAGATGGGCTGTGGCCCCAGCAGGGCTCTAGGCCAGTGTGTGGTACTTCTCTACATGAGCCCAGGTTTACCCTCTCCCTCCCTCTGCAAGAACCTAACTCACACCAGGGGCCCTGGAGCATGGAGACCAGCCTGACCCTGCTAGTGCCTTCTGCTCTCAGCTTCCCTCTCTCTTTCACCCAACATCCCTGCAGAAAGCACAGGGGTGGAGTGCAGCCACTCTGCAGCTGCCCCACCCACTGCCCCAAGACTCAACCTCCCTCAACTTGTGTCTCTGTCATAATGGAGTTGGCATTCCAAAGTTGCTGAGAACTCTAAAGTCTTCCATGGGCTGTGTTACTGTGACGAGTCTGGGACAGGGGTCTGAGGCTACCATTTCTATTTTGTTTTGGTTTTCTTTTCTAGTCGTGCTGAGGTTTGAACTCAATGCCTCGAACAGGTGCTCTACCACTGAACCATGCCTCCAGTCCCTTTTAGATAGGTTCACACCTCTGCTCCAACACATACCTGGACTACCATCCGCCTATTTTAAGCTTCTCATTGTGGCTGAGATGAAGGGTGCAAACCACCACACCCAGTGGGCTTCTGAGACAGCCCCATGGATTTTTTCTGCTTGTAATTTGATCCTATATCAATCTCAGCCTGTCCTGCCACTTTGGATGACAGGTATGCATCACTGCACCTAGCTACTATGGTTGAGAAAGGGTCCTGTGGAATTTTCTGTCCAGACAAGCCTCAAACAGTGATTTTTACGTTCTTGGACATCCAAGTAGCTGGGATGGCAAGTGTAGGCCACCAGTGCCTGGCTAAAGGCGGCCACATCTGAATGTAAAGGTTGTAGCTTACTCTGAGGACTTGGGCTTTCTGCTAATAAGTAACAGGGGGCAGAGGCATCACACCTGGTGGAAATGAGCAGTGCCTGGCACCAAAAGGGAAACACGGGGGTGGTACTCACCTAGCAGCTGAACACCCCGCGTGAGGCCATAGACATCCACCAGCGCCCAGAGCGGGTCAGCTGTGCGGACCCCGTTGAAGAAGAGCATGGCAGCAGAGTCATTGATGCGGTAGAAGACGCGGCCCTTCTTGTCCACCCAGAAGGCTATGATGTTGCCCTCGTTGGCAAACTCCTCAGGCAGCGCCTTGGCCCAGAAGCCACTCTGGGACACCAGGTCTGGGCAGGCATACTTGGGCAGCGAGTCGGGGTGGATACGAGACGGGTCCTTGCTTGTGAAGCCCAGCCGCAGGGCTCCACTCCAGCAGCACTGCTTCTTGGTGATCTGGTGGCAAGGAGAGGCCTCAGTCCAGACATTTACCCTTGGTCAGACTGACCCTGCTATGCCTGACCCCCCCCCCCTTAGGAGACTCCTAGGCTGTGTCTGAAGCCAGTTCACCCCCCCCCATTCCACTCATCCTCTCCCCCAGGGGGTCTTCGCACAGGCTGCTGAGAGCCACTGGTCTTCAGGGCCTTCTTTGTGACACAGCTTAGGAAAGTGAGGGCGTGGGTGGGTGGGTGAAAAGGAAGGGGGGCAGGGTATTAAAGGCGGGAGTGGCTATGGGGGAGGTTGGGGTTGGGTGGGGGAATTTGGGGGCCCACCTTCAGCCTGACTTGCTCGTAGATGAGCACTGGGCGGTTACTGAAGGTGATGGCGTTGCAGAAGCTGGCCTGCCTCTTGACGGCCTTATGGCTGAGGTCCATGAGGATCTGGGAGCCCTTGGTGTGGGGGTGGAAGAGCAGCGGCGTAGCAGGGAGCCCCCCACCGGACAGCACCTGCGGGCAGTGCTTCTGCTTGTGGTGGCATCGGTGAGAGGTGACAGGGAAGGAGCCCCCGATGGAGTCTGCAAAGAAACGGCCACAGTGTCAGAGAAATTGACAGGATCAAGAGCCAGAGCTGGACCACCCCACCCCCCTTCTACCCACACCCCTCCTTGCCCAGGGAAGAGCTGTGGGCTGGGGCAGAAGCAGATGTTGCCCACTGTCCAATGTTGCCCAAATCACCACTTTTCCCATCATCCTTTCCTGCTACCATCCACACCCACCTCTCACCATCACCATCCTGATTCATCCATTCATCTTGTTCAACACATATTCATTTTGTATCTGCTGTGTACCAGGCTCTGTCCTGGGCACTGGAGACACCAATGTGGATCCTGTCCTCTGACAGCCAAGACCCAGAAGGGACACAGACGTGGAGGGAAATTACTGCACCAAATGGCCCAATGTGGCAAGCACCCAGAGGGCCTAGCAGCCGGCCTTCAGAGGAGGGGAAACAGCATCATGGAAGCTGGGCTACAGCAGCAACCGAGGAAGCGGCTGCAGGCCACTGCAGGCATGGCGCCGGTGCTGGGGGCATTGGGGATGGGCTTTCTTCCTCCTCCTCCTCCTCCTCTTCCTCCTTCTTCCTTTTTCTTCTGTGTGTGCATGTGCATGTGTGTGTCACTCCTGGGGATTGAACTCTGGGCCTTACGTTCTCACTTGGCTTTTTGAATCAAGATTGGTGCTCTACCACTTGAGCCATACCTACACTTCAGCTTCTGACATAGGGTTTTATGAATTTGTCTGTCTAGGCTGGCTTCAAATCTCAATCCCAGATCGCAGCCTCCAGAGCTAGGATTACTAGTATGAGCCACCTGCTCCCTGGCTTCTTTGTTATTAACATGCATTAGTTACACAGGGGAGACGGCATTGTGACATTCGCCCTCATAGATACAATGTATTCCATTCAATCTCACCCCTCCACCACTCTCCCTTCCCTAAAATAATTTCAACGGGCCTCTTTGTTCCGTTTTCATATATGCTAACCATCTCATTTGACTGTTTCATTCACCTTCTTTGTTAGCCCAACCCCCATAAAGCTTGTTTCTCTTTCTTAACCTCTTCTGATCAACAGCTTTCATTGAAGTTCTTCATGTTATTTTCCCATGGAGTTGCAATGTGTTTCAAGATTATTCACCCATGTGTGCTTTCTTTCCTACATAGACAACTGTTAAAACAGCCTAGAGAGCAGGGTCAGGATCCCTCATATAAACACTTGCAGGTTTCATCTAGAACACCGGGCATGGACAAGAAAGAAACAGAACTAGATTCTGAGTGACATCTACCACTCACTGCTGTGTGACTTTGAGAAAGACATTTCCCTCTCTGACACAGTTTGTGGACTCTGCACCAGCAGCAGCCACTAGCATTAGCATTCTTTGGCTCAAGGCTAGCATTATATGGGCTAGAGGCATGTACCGCTTCCTTCCCAGGACCTGTGCCTCATTAATCCCACAGGAAGTAGAGCTGACCCTTCCTAGTACTTTATTTCTTTTTTTAAAACTTATTTTACAGTATGGAGGATAGAACTCAGGGCCCTGCGCATGCTAGGGAAGTGCTTTGCTCAGTGAGCTGTATCCCTGGCCATTTTGCTTATATTTTATTTTTGAGACACAGTTTTGTGTGTGTGTGTGTGTTTGCTAGTCCTGGGGCTTAAACTCAGAGTCTGGGCACTGTCTCTGGGCTTCTTTTGCTCAAAGCTAGCATTCTACCACTTGAGCCACAGCGCCACTTCTGGCTTTTTCTATTTTTATGTAGTACTGAGGCTTTCAAGCATGCTAGGCAAGTACTCTACCACTAAGCCACATTCCCAGCCAAGACAGAGTCTTACAAACTTTGCTTGAGATGGCCTTGAACTCAAGATCCTTATGACTCTGTCTCTCAAGTGCTGGAATTACAGTTATGCACCACTATACCTGTCTACTTCCAACTTGTCATCTTAAGAAAAGAAAGACATGGAAGGAGAGGAAAGAAGGAGGTAAAGGGTTCAATATGTGACATTTTGGGGTATTTCAGGTTTTGTTCCCCCTGTGACGAGACGTTAATGCAGAGAGGCATGGTCAGCATCAGGCCTGCCCAGACTTTTCCACTGGCTATCAGGGAGGGAGAAAATACAGGCAGGAGGAAGAGCAAGGGAGAGAGAAACTGGGGAAGGCCAAGACCTCCCCTCAGGCTTTGGTTTACATTGCTCTGTATCTCTTTGTATTTTGTTTTGTTTTGTTTTTTTGTCTGTTGTGGGGTTTGAACTCTGGGCCTGGGCACTGTCCCTGAGCTCTTCAGCTCAAGGCTAGCACTCAACCACTTGAGCCAAGGCACCACTTCTGGTTTTCTGGTCATTAATTGGGATAAGAGTCTCATGGACATTCCTGCCCAGGCTGGCTTGGAACTGCAATCCTCAGATCTCAGCCTCCTGAGTAGCTAGGATTACAGGCATGAACCACTGGTGCCCAGCTAGCTCTTTGTATTTCTTTTCTTTTTCTTTCTTCCTTTCTTTTTTCCTTCCCTTCCTTCCTTCCTTCATTCTTTTCTCTCTCTCCCTTCCTTCCTTCCTTTCTCTCTCTCTCCCTTCCTTCTTTCCTTCATTCCTTCCTTCTTTTCTCCCTTCCTTTCTTTCTCCTCTCTCCTCTGTGTCTCTGTCTGTCTGTCTTTCCCTCTCTGTGTCTCTCTGTGTGTGTCTCTGTGTCTCTGTCTCTGTCTCTCTCCCCTCCCATCCCCCCCTCTCTCATTGCCAGTACTGGGGCTTGAACTCAGGGCTTCACACTCTAACTTGGCTTTTGCAGTCAAAGCTAGAACCACCTGAGCTGTGCCTTCGCTTCCAGCTTTCTTTTTTCCTAACTAATTGGAGCTGAGTCTCTCGGAGTTTCTCCAGAGCAGCTTCCTGTACGTCAGGCCCCAGAGGTGGGGGTGGCATGAGGACAGCTTGCCTTGCATGCTCCAAAGAGACAAGACGTTCTGGAACTGATGGATGGTGCGAAGGCTCTGAAAGCCATCAGGCTGTGAGCACTGGAATCACTCAGAAGAACTCTCTGACCCATGAGGAGAAGGGCAGGTCATCTCAAGAAAGGCTGGTCAGAGTGAAAGGCAGAGGTGGCACTGGCTACAAGTGCCTTGCTTGGAAAAGTTGCTCACTGGCCTCAGGCCAGGGTCAGACATGGCTTGAATCTTGGTTTCAAAATCTACCTGCTAACCAAAGGTGGCATTATACTTTACATTGTTTAGGGAGGCATCCATATATAGAAATGAATGCTGAAGGAAAATAAAATAACTGGCCCCTCTGTACAACGGAACAGCACTCAGCAGTGAAAAGCAATGAACTGCTGGCATGAGTAACAGTGATGCTGGGTAAAATCAGCCTACTTCACAGCAAAAGCCATTGTCTACAGAGCAACTGCAGGACTGTTACTATTACAATCCTTCCTCTTCCACCCTGTCCCATCTTGACCCAAGTCCAGAAAGTAAGCTGAGTAATGGCACTCACCTGCAATCCTAGCACTTGGGAGGCTGAGGCAAGAAGATTGAGTCTGTGGCTACCTTGGGGCCAAAGTTAGTGAGGCTCTAGCTCAAAAACAGAATACAAATAAAGGGCTGGCGCATGGCTCAAGTGGTAGAGCATTTGCCTCCAGGCAAGTGCCCAGGGTTCAATCCCCAACACCACCAAAACGGAAAAAAAAAGGCAGATAAATGGGTGCCTAGGGAGATGGGGAGAACGAGGAATGGATTTCTAGGGAGGCTGAGGCAACACGGAGGGTGATATGCGTATTATCCCCGTGTGGTGCAGGCTGTGTGGGGGTGTACACGTATTAGAACTTATCACACCATACAGGTTTTTAAAAAACAAACAGGCCTGGCAAAGTAGCTTAGTGGTAGAGTGCTTGCCTAGCATGCATGAAGCCCTGGATTCGATTCCTCAGTACCACATAAATAGAAAAAGCCAGAAGTGGAGCTGTGGTTCAAATGGTAGAGTGCTAGCCTTAAGCAAAAGGAGCTCAGGGACAGTGCCCAAGCCCCGAGTTCAAGCTCCAGGATTGGCAGGGGAAAAAAAGTCCCCATGAAACTCATCTCCCATTAACCACCAAAGAACCAAAAGTGGAGCTGTGGCTTGAAGTAGTAGAGCTCTAACCTTGAGCATAAAAGCTCAGGGACAGCATCCAGGCTCTGAGTTCAAGTCCTAGGACTGGCAAATAAATAAATAAAAATAAAAAAACAAACATTTTCGTGTAGGTAGTGAATGACAACTTTTAGCTCAAGAACGCAGGTGGTTTTGAACCCCCTGAACTGGGTTGCTGACTAGAGCAGCAACTCTCTCTTCAGACTCCATCCAGAGCCCCCGGACTCACTGTAGGGCCTCAGCGCCCATCCAGATGTTTCCTCTCCTTCCTGCCAGTCCCTGTTGGGGTCCTGAAAAGCCCTGGGCAAAAGTCTAGAAAAGACTGGCTCTAGGAAGGTTTGGTGAAAATACTCATGCTCTGGTGGAATGTTCCTCAGGACTTCTGTTCCACTGGGTGGTCCCAGGGTCATAGTCCCCTGCCATTTCCAGGGCTGGGGTGGGAGGGGGCAGGAGACAGCAAAGAATCCCCCTTGGCTGACAATAGAACAGATAGAGAAGGTGGTAGGGAAGCAACACGCACCCAGACATGTGGACCGGCCCAGGCAAAGAAGGTAACCCTGCTGTTCAAGGGAGCAGTGGGGAGGACTCGCTCCTCTCCCTCATCCCTGGACCCACATCTACATTGGTGCTGTGCACATACACATGCATTCTTAAACACATGATCTGCAAAATGATTTTTTCTGGGTGGGTCCGGTCATGGGGCCTGAAACTCTGGGCCTGGGCGCTGTCCCTCAGCTCTTCAGCTCAAGGCTAGCGCTCTACCACTTGAGCCACAGCGCCACTTCCAGCTTTTTTCTTTTTGCTTATGTGGTGCTGAGGAATCAAACCCAGGGCCTCAGGCATGCAAGGCAAGCACTCTACCACTGAGCCACCTTCCTAGCCCCATGATCTGCAAAATGAGCCACGTAAAATACA